TTACCTCATGGATATGACCATGGATATGACACTCTAAACCCTATTTGAGTTGTGTTGTTGTGTTTGATGAGTTATGAGGTGAAGTACCCCAAGGGCAAAGTGGTAATTTTAGACTTTGATGCCTTAATCAAAATTTAGGATTATCAAAGGGAAAATGGGTAAATTTGATCTTAATACAAATGTTTAGATGATTGAAATACAATGGGGCTAAAAGGTAGAAACTCATTCAACACCCTTGCACGACATCAACTAAAAGCATAATTTTCCTAATATTTTCCTAATCTTCATGACTTGGAAATCAATTAAAGATCAAATGATTCTTAAGTGATGGGCTTAAGTAGGAAGCTGATAATTTACTTTTCTTAAGCCCAAAGTTGAGGATGATGTGATCATTTAATAAGGATATATGGCACACGGTGTTTAGAACAAGATGGAAAGCATGAAGATTGACATTTAACCTAGGAGGTGAATATGTTGATTAGATCAGAATGGAAAGCATTAGAACTCCATTCCAATTGGAGTGCTAATCAAGAGGAATTGATTATTTCTTTTTCTATTTATTTGTCCTAAGATTTTATTTGTTGGGTTATATAAGTTTTTGTTTACAATTTTTTTTTTTTGAAAGATTTTATTTGAAGGGTTTGTTTTATTTTATTTTATTTTTAAATGTTTTACTTGTTTATTTAAAATTTTTTTGTTGCATTTTGAAAGGTTTTATTTGTTATTTTTTTTCCATTTGAAAGGTTTTTTTATTTTTGTAAGAAGTATAAAAGGGTTTCCATTTGAAAGTTTTTTTAGTTGTAAGTTAGCTCCATCAAATACTATATGTCAAAGTATATTGATCTCTTTGCCAAGATAATATCATACTAAAGTACGAGGGAGACCATGTAGAAGTGTCAGTCAAAGTCACAATGGTCAATATTTTGTAGAGTGCAATATCATTTCTCATAAATGTTGACTATGTAGCTGTTGGGTTATATAGGTAGAGGGTATGATGTGACACAAAAAATGACTCTTAATCATGTATTTTAATAGCATAGAAATCTTGTCCACTTCTTCATTATAAAATATTCTTGGTGGATTACCTTGAATATCTCTCTATAATTGTAGTAACATCCAAGCTATAAGTTGGTTCGTTTTTTAAC